GAATTTTGGCTTGAAAAAGTCATCAATTGAGGCTTGGCTTTGAATTCAACAATATCATAAGCCCATAAATTCCTCCCGAAGTGAAAGTTATAGTCGTTTAAAGTTTTCTCACCTTCAACGCACCTTGCAATGATCTCGTAAGGGCCAGAATTCAGCAACATGTTCCACATCGGTTTGTGTACGCCCTGTGGATTTCTCTACTTCCTAAATCGACTAGCGATTGAGTTCTAAATTTAAAATGTTAACGCCAAATTTCGATAATTTCAAACACTGACTCAATTATCTTGTGCTTTGCTTCTTGCTCTATTTTTGCATTGAATAACCGAATATGTCAGTTCTCCACCTCACTTTCCAAAAAAAAGGAAGAAGTAGAATCTGGAACCAAAAACTTGCTCGAGTTAATTGCGTCTTACATGACCACGAGTTGATCCACAACAAGATTAATAACAGCTGTTCCTATGAAACTGAAATTGCAAGACGGTGAGAACAATCAGTGAGCCCTTTCCACGCTGCACCATGTTGTCAAGTCACTGGTCAGCAATGCAGCATGATGGTTTAACAGCTATGCCTGATGAGCAAACAATTTGCTATTAGTGTGAAAGAAAAAGACAGCTGAAGAAGCAAATTTGTGCATGGATTTTGTGTTGATTATTTTAGCGACTGTTGTGCGCTAATTCTTTCAGACTTGTTTCATTCAATTTGCTGAATTGGGACTTGGAAAAAGGGGACAATGTACTTTGGAAAACTTCAAAATGGTTGGCTTTTTGCCGTGGCTGTCCGAGCTTTTGTTTTTGTAGGAGGTAGAAACTCCATAAATCACACGACAATTGGATTAATCAATTTATGTCTCATCTCATGGCTCTTGGAAGAGTGAGACCGTAGCAATTTGGCACCACTAACACGATTCAGCCAGAAGATTAACAGCAGACCTTTGATCTACAAATACATTTCATATGGAAACCTATATATGATCATCTTTTTTCTACTCAAAACGGTTAAGTGCATGGCATGATCTAAAAAGGTTTGCAATTGTGATAGCGAAAGGCCTTGCGTCGCTTCATCCATCAGATTAGAGTAGTTTTATCGCAGCATTTATTCAACATGTATATTGCTCTATCATAGTTTTGAACCCCAAGGTGTCCAAATTTTGAAAGTGCAAAAGTTTCCAAATCAATTTTACTTCTTCAAGTGGGAGAATTCTGGTAAATAATGAAATATGGGAGTGTGGTTCCTTTAAGAAAGATGTCTATGAGCGGTATATAATTCCCCATAAAATATATATATATATATATATATATATATATATATATATAGATGCATGTGATTCAAGGCAAAGTGTTTTATCAATTAAACTATGTTTCGTTGTCGAACTATCTGACATTGTGCAAAATTATAGGAGAGTTATATCTAATTTATCCTACAATTTGTTAAATAACTCAAACTCTTGGTTTTCAGAAGTGTGAGTTTATCAAGTTTTCTTTTTCATATGTTCTTGCATCAGGATAGTTCGAATTTGATGGCTTCACATATAGATGTAATTGGCCCTTACTTAATTTGTGTACATTTTCTGTAACTATGATAATACTTTGTTTGGAAATAAATCCCCAGCATAACTGAGAAGCCAATATAATGGTGCATATTGATCATAACTTTACATTAAAAGTGTGTGGAGTGATAAAGAAAAATTTTATTTAAGAAAATTTGTGGGGAAATCCTTAACTTTACGCTAAAACATAAGCATATTAACGGAATCAGTTTTGTGACGTCGGAAATTTCTGTTTAACTTAAAGTCCTTATTTATTTTTCCTTCTCAATGTTATTGGTTGCATCATGGTAAGAAGTGGAATTAATTTTTATTCTACACGCTTTGGACGGTAAAATCATCAAAGTGTCTCAAATCACAAAAAAAGCAGAGCCCAGAAATACGAGGATAAATAGTCCAAAAACAATAAAAAATTCTTTCCTTGAATCCGTCAAAACGAAAGGCGATTGTGGGGTGCAGGTCCTTTCTTCTCAGTAACCTATTGAGTAATAAAAAAAAAAAAAAACTCCAAAAGAAATACTACTAAATACTTGCTTGCCCTGCAGACGGTGAGATCTGTTTCTATAAAAGGTAAGATTCCTGTAAACTTGCAAATTGTACATTTCTAAATACCCTACTACTCAACAAAAATCAATTAACAGGTCAAATTCCAGCACAAATTGGCCTGTTGGGTCGGTTGAAGACTTCTGATGTTGCCAACATCCTTCTATCTAGCCTTTTAGTAGATCAACTTTTGATTAAATTTATGTGACATAAAGTTAGTCAAGAAAATTAACATCAGAATCGATGGAGATCTAATGCAGAGGTGGGTAAAGTGGCCTGATGGTTATGTATAACTTTTCAAGCTGCAGCTGAGTTATTTATACATTAAAAAAAAAATCCCTAAGATACAAAAGTGCAATTTATCCTATACATATATTAAATTTTTTTTCAACAAAGAAGAAGTAGGATTTTTTTTTTTAAAAAAAAAAAGCGAGGAGGAGAAAGGAGAATTAGATTCCAAGACTTCTAAATCTTAGAATTTCAACATTAGTTAATAAAATCATTTTGGACTTTTAATATAAATAATTTTAACATTTTAAGTAATTCCAATGCAGAGGACATTTTGACATTTTAACTAAAATCATTTTGACACTGCACTTCAAAGCGTGGAGTCATGTACAGGTTACCGCACGGTAATTATACGAAAATGCACTAAATTTGTTCGTTTGTTTGCAAGGGGTTGCACTATAATTTATTCGTTTGTTCGTTGATGAATATAACAGGAAGGAGGCTGATCAGTCCAGAGACTCCAGACCATTCTTGATGGAAGGGATGAGCCCCATTACATGGCAACTAGTGTGGGGTTAGTGACGCCCATTACATCTTTAGCTAAAGGGATAATTTCAGAAACCTCCCCTGAGGTTTCTGAAACTTGCACTGAGACCCCCTGAAGTTCTCAAAATTTCACTGATCTCCCTTACTTTTGAGTTTTTGTAACAAAGCAGTCCAAACCATATTACAATATTATTTTCATGTGTGAGAAGGTATTTTTATTCCATGATTGCCCTTTGCTCCTTGTATTAGTAGAAGATTGAAACAAGAATAAATTATTAGAATGGCTATTAAAGTTGAGGGAGTGTAAGTACAATACAAAAAATTATAAGTACTAGATGTGCCAGGAAAAATACCGATTTTCATAAATCTTAAGTCAACTAGTAGGTTATCTATTTAATATAAATTAAGTAACTAATTAAACTAATTAAATTACCTGCGAGTATTACTTTCATATAATTAATTTATGTTAAATACAAAACCTACCAGTTTCCCTTTTGTAAAAATATGAGTGTAATACTTTTTGAATTTTACTTACAACCATTTGTATATTTAATATAAATTGAATGATTCAGAGTAAAATACTCATAAATAGCTATTACCTTGTTCGTGTAATAGAGAAAATCCATAAAGAACTGATATGTTATGGGCAATTACTTTTTTTTTTTTCATCTTTCACATATTTAATTTATGTTTAATAGAAAACCTAATTGTTTTTCTTTCATAAAAATATTAGTGTATCACTTTTTAAATTTTACTTACAAACATTTATGTATTTAACATAAATTATATGAAAAGTGTAAAATGCCTATAAATAACTAGTACTTTATTCATATAATAGAAGAAATCCGTAAAGAACTAGTAAAAAGTGGGTAATTTCTTTTTTTACTTTCACGTATTTAATTTATGTTAAATATAAAACTTATTAGTTTCCCTTTCGTAATAATATTAGTGTAACATTTTTTGAATTTCACTTATAAATATTTATATATTTAATATAAATTAAATAATACAAATTAAATTGCTCATAAATAGCTAGCACTTTATCCATATAATGGAAAAACTCGTAAAGAGCTGGTATGTTATGAAATTTTTTTTTACTTTCAAATACGTCATTTATATTAAATATAAAACATGCTATTGTTCCTTTCGTAAAAATATTTATGTAACGGCTTTTGATTTTTATTTGCAAATATTTATGTATTTAATATAAATTAAATGATTTAGAATAAAATACCCATAAAACTTGGTACTTGGTTCATGTAATAAAGAAAAACCATAAATAGTTGGTACTTTATGAGATATTTATTTTTTAAAAAATATTTAATTTATGTTAAATAGATAACCTACTAGTTTTTTTTTTCCGTAAGAAATTACTGTAACACTTTTTAAATTTTATTTAAAAACATTTATATATTCACAGCAGGCACAAAAATGGGCCCTTACTCCCTAATCCAGCTTTAATTCATGTATTAGCCATCAAGTTTGTGTTATTGTTGTTAAGGTTGATTAATCACTTTAGATGCCTTTTTCTCCAACTAAACGGTAGAAATAAACCCTAACTTCAGTAGAAAAATGGCACCAAATTTCTTCCTCAATTGTCACCTTTTTGTAATGGAGTTTTAATTAGCTTAATTAGACATCAAATTTATGTTATTCTAGTTAAATGTAATTAACTAATTTTGATGCATTTTTCCCCCAAATTTACATTAGCTATTAGTCCCAATTTCATAGGACAAAGTGGTAATTTCAGCTATCATGATGGAAGCAAAGGGTTCCAAATCTCTGCCAGGGGAGGTTAGTGAAATTTTTAAAACCTTGGCGGGTACCAGTGCAAGTGTCAGAAACATCAGGGGAGGTATGTGAAATTATCCCTTAGCTAAAATGCTTCTTAAACAGTCTAAGGATTAGCTGCCGTCATAATTGACAAGCACTGAAGGAAATAAAAAAAGTTTCCTTCAGAACGAAAAGCATGTCCTTTGTTATCGTGCAATGTCAGACCGGTTCTTCTCAACACGAAACGGGTATTAAAAAAAAAAAAAAACTATGCATAGTAGTAATAAAACTTCTTTACTTTACTTAAACCAGGATCATTTCCGGATTATTTGACCGCTCTCTCGTTACCTTTGATTCATCTGTTCTTTCTTGATCTTGCTCCGTCTGTCTGTTGAATAATTTATTATCTCATTTCTCTTCTTCACCTTCCCAAAAGGAAAAAAAAGGGAAATTTCAGGAGAGAAATACTTGCTTGCTCTGCCGTCGGCGAGATCTGTTTCTCCCTTAAAATTTTAGAGTGAAACTGAGGAAAAATCCATGTTCCGAGAATGCAATTTTGGAGCTGCGTTCCTGGATATAAGACTTCACAAAACATTTGTTATGTGTGCAAGAAAGTGGAGCCACAGCAATGATTTGTACTTGGAATCTGAGAATGTAGCGAAGAAGGCGCGTCTTCCATCTTTCTTATCTTGCATTGAAGATAACGTTCACAAATATGAGGAGGACTTCCGGTACTCTCTTTGCAATATATCAGCATTTGATGGCAGTGGCCTAGGTCGTGTTCCCTATGAAGTGTTTTCTGAGTTTTTGAAACAGATCAAATCATTTAAGCAAGAAATCATCCAAGTTTACTTTACTTTGCCAAGCAGCAGATCATTGGAATCAAATTCTTGCATGCCAGTTGATGAACTAATGGAATTTATAGACCTCATTCTAGAAAATTTAGCGGATTTAACAACTGTCTATTTGGGTATTATTGATGATATGGATCCCCAAGTTAGTGCTCAATTCCAAGCCCTTGAAGCAAAGCTAACATTCTTGAAAAACTTCATTCCCTTTGCCAAATTGCGAGGAACTGCAGATATTCCTGCCTTGCTATTGGCTCACTTTGAAGTGGTGACTTTGAACGCAGCACACCTCTTTTACATGTGCTCTGTTTGGGATGGTAAGGAGCGGCACAATCCTGAGTTCTGCTCCATGATATATGAGCAACAACAGAAAATCACACCTATTGATTTTCAAGTCTATGAGATTTATATGGAAGTTCTTAGAGCTTCAAGATCCTCAAAATCATTGCATAATAGAATGATGGATAAGCAGATATTGAACAACTTCAATGATTCTCTCATAAGTTGTCTCTGGGAGCTGTTATGCTGCAGCTCTAGCTTTATGGATTCTTTGAAAGATGAAATGCAAATACTCTATGCAGGACTGAGGTTCTTGAGAAGCATTTTAAGGGAGCAGCAGGAGAAGATGGATGAACAAAACGAAAAAATTGGTACTCTTCTTTGTGAGGCAGGCCTTATAATTTGCTTGCCTTCTCTAAACAGAGTGAAGGAAGGACAAGTTAGCTTCTCAGAATCCACAGAGGCCCTTAACTGTTATGATATGCTGGCTAATACCAACATCCATATCAAGCATTTTAAGGATCAGATCAGTGGCTCAAGCATTATTGAAAGTCTTCCTTCCTTTCACAGCTTAAGAGCACCAGAAATTAGCAAGACTTCCAGCCACATTCTATCAAAAGGTAAAATGCCAATAGCCCATGAAGTCATGGTTGGTCTTGATGACGAGGCAGCAAAAGTAATTGAACGACTTATATGGGGACCAGAACAGGTGGAAATTGTTCCCATTGTGGGAATGGCTGGGCTTGGTAAGACGACTTTAGCCAAAAAAGTTTACAATGATAGTTCAGTAATCTGTAACTTCCACATTCGTCTTTGGTGCACTGTTTCTCAAGAATTTAACATGAAAAGCTTGTTAATACAAATTTTGTGTTCTGATGGAAAACGGTTAAGGATGGTCAAAGAGCTTAAAAACTTGAATGAACATGAATTGCTTCACGAGCTCTATCAAAGGCTGAAGACGAAGAGGTATCTTGTTGTTTTTGATGATGTCTGGGACATTAAGGTATGGAATGAGCTGAGAATTTCATTCCCCGATGAAAAGAAAGGAAGTAGAATCATCTTCACGAGTCGATCTTCTAATGTGGCTTCACAGGTTGAATATGGGGGGAAACCTCACAATCTTCGTCCACTCAGTGAGAAAGAAAGTTTTGAATTACTGCTGAAGAAGGTATTTGGAAAAGAAGATTGTCCTCAAGCATTGTGTGGAATTGCTATGAAGATTGCCAAGAAGTGCAGGGGATTGCCACTAGTAGTTGTTGTTGTTGCTGGAGTTCTAGCAACTATAGGGCATGATATTTTGGTTTGGGAAGAATTCGCTGAAAGTTTAACTTCAACCATGGTGTCTGGTACAGACCAGTGCAAGAAGCCATTGGAGCTCAGTTATGAGCATTTACCGTATCACTTGAAGGCATGCTTGCTGTATTTTGCTGCCTTTCGAGAAGATGAAAAAATTGGTGCCAAGAATTTGATGCGTCTATGGATTGCAGAAGGGTTTGTGGAAAAAATTCAAGGAAAAAGATCGGAGGTCATTGCGGAAGAATATCTGATGGACCTAATTGGTCGAAACTTAGTTATGGTAAGTAAAAGCAGATCCATTGGTGGAGTCAAAACTTGTTACATTCACGATTTGATATTTGAGTTCTGTAAGGGCGAGGCTGCTTCAGGTCCTGCGAGGATATGATGAGCTCTCTACCTTTAATGAGCCTCCCAACCTACCTCGGTTGTCTATTTGCTCCAGTGGAGAAGATTTTATAAGGTCAAAGCTATTTTGTCCATATTTAGGTACTCTGCTATTCTTTGATGCTACTCCAGGAGATAGGTTTGAGTTGCGTAACATCTCATTCCTTTTTTGCATCTACAAACATCTTAAAGTTTTGAATTTAGCGGGCATTATGCTAAGGCTGAAGGAGCTTCCAGCTGAAGTTGAATCACTTCTTTGTTTAAGGTACTTAGCCCTTAGAGCTTGGAAAATGGAATTCATTCCACCATGTATAGCCAAGCTCTCACATTTGGAAACCTTTTGTCTATATTCTCACCAGATAGTTTCATTGCCAGATAGCATCTGGAACATGAAGAAGTTGAGGCATGTACATGTAAGACACCTTGTTGTTATTCGTCTGTCTTCCAACGACGACGCTGTTGAAAACCTCTCTACTTTACCCAATTTAGACACACTCTCTACTCTGCGTCTTTATCTTGATAAAGAAGGAGAGAAACTGTTGAGAAGGATTCCCAACGTTCGCCGACTTAAAATTTTCCATTTGGGGGATCAAAACAGAGTATGCTGCAACATGAGTCGACTAGAATGCCTAGAGTCACTCAACTTAGGGGGCTACAGCTTCTTAGGTTCACAGGAACATGTTGAGCTTTCTTTTCCCATGAATTTGAAAGAGTTGAGTCTTGACCAACTACTTTTATTCCACCTTTCACAAGTCCGACTGAGGGCACTTTTACATATCCCAACCCCAGTTTATCACACAGCTACCCAAGCAACATCTTTGTCAATCCGATTAGCCACCAGATTCCTCAAAACTATCTACAAATCAACATGAACATTCCCTTTAACCTCAAGGACCCTATCACCCCACAGAGCCTTTCATGTTGGACACCGTCTTTCAAACAAAAGCAGAAATGGGTGATCCCTCCGCTCCGATTGACAAAAATCTATTAAAAAGATTGGATCGATTCGATGAATTTATGAAGAAAAGTCAAGGTTTGAACAAGCACGGGGGTTTGGACTATGATGAACTCTGCCTCTTCCTGGACATGCAAATGCCCATGCGTTTTAAAACTCCCAAATTTAGAAAATATGATGGCACTGAAAATCAAAAATACATCTTTGTATGTTTGCAAACAAACTAGAAAAATTGGTAGATGACGAGAACTTATCTTTACGTCTGTTTCCTAAAAGCTTGGAGGGTGATGCTTGGATTGTACTCTAATTTGAAACCTGAAGAGATGAAGACTTGGTTAGACCTGTCTACGGCTTTCGTGAGGCAGTATGAGTACAATTACGAACTTGCACCAACGAGAACCACGCTTGAGGGGGCTAAGAAGAATCCGTCGGAGGATCATAAGATGTATGCCAAGCGTTGGAGGAAACTAGCTGCTAAAGTGGAACCCCCTATGACCGAGGATGAAATTGTTCGAATATTTATCAAATCATGACCACCTTATTTGAGGAAATTTTTTGAATGACTGGATGCTCATTTGCATGTATTGTAAACAAGTTAGAAGAATTTGACTAATTCGTCAAAGCAGGAAAGATAGTCAACGTGTCGACTTTGAAAATGCAACTAAAAACTTTGCAATGTCAGAGTAGTAGTAGCAAGAAACCTCAATTCAAGAAGAAGGAAAGAGAGAATGCTTTCGTCTAGGATCAGAGGCCTCCGACTTGATCCAGATTTCAGAACCGACCCACCTATTCATCTCCCTACTCGTATTACCCAAACTCCCGTCCTGTCTATCACACTACTGTTAACCAACCCCGTCCCCGACCTAACTACATAAACATACTTGTACCACCTTTTCAAATTTCTTAATCAAGTTTGCAAACTCGATCTCGACTTTCTTTTAATCCAAGACCAGTTCAACCAAATAACCAAACCTATAACTATCATCAAACCAATAAAACCCAAAATCAAAATCATATTGAACCTTCACCAACTTGAACCGACCTCTCAACCAATTATACGAGCAACTTAAGGCTGCTGGTAAAATTGGCGTGATTCTTCCCAAAACCTACTCTAGGGGCATCCCTATTTATGATACTCAAGCCATTTGTGCATATCATTCTGAAAGTCCTGGACACTCTACTGTCAATTGTTGGGCATTAAAGTATAAAATTCAAAACATGATTGATGCTGAAGATATAGTTTTGAGAAGAAGAGGTGAGTCAGAGTCAAATGTTAGTAAAAATCCATTTCCTGAACACAAAGGCATTATAGGGGCCATTACCACTAACGAGGAGTTTGAAGAGACTGCCCAATACATCGTGGATGAGAATGAAGTAATTGGAGTAGTTGAAAAACCTTTTGTGCTAGAGGAAGAACCATTGAAAAATAACGAAGAGCCTTTTGTGTTGGATTTATCGGAACCTGTGGTGCTCGAATTTCCTGAACAATAACCTATATATAACTTGCAAGAAGTACCATGGGACTATAGTGAGCTTGCTCTACTGATCAGGGATGTTGAGGTGCCTAAAGAGAAGGGGGTTATTGTTGCCAAACTTGGGAAGATCGTAGAGTAGAACCCTATGCTATTTAAGTCGTCCGTGACCGAAAAAGATGCGTTAAATTTTCTTAAAATGCTGAAAAGGAATGAGTACAAGATCATGGAGAAATTGGATGAAACGCCTGCCTAGATATCCATTTTAGACCTACTGTTAACCTCTAAATTGCATAGAGAGGCACTACTTAAGGTTCTGGGTGAGGCTCGGATACCAAAGAATATCCTAACTGACAAGTTCGCACACGTTGTGAAAAATGTTCTAGCTGTTAATCACATAAGTTTTTCTAATGATGACTTGACTTCCGAATAAATTGGGCATAATAAGTTGTTGTATATCTCAGTGCGCTGTAATGGAAAGCTACTACTTAGAATTTTGATAGAAAACGAATCTGCCTTAAACATCTGCCCACGGAGCACTTTCGTGAAACTCGGACTTTTGGATGTTAGATTGCGGACATTTGCAATGATAATAAGAGGATTTGACAGAGGTAGAAGGGAGCCAATGGGCGAAGTTGATTTGGTACTGAAGATGAGACCCGTCCAATTTCAAACAGTTTGCCAAGTCATGGATTTCTCGAGCATTTACAACGTGTTAGTTAGACGACCTTGGATTCACACTTCTGGTTTCGTTTTGTCTTCTCTCCATTAGAAAGTAAAGTTCATTGTCAATGATCAACTTATCACTATGTTTGCTGAGGATGATTGCACCATTATTGTTAATTCTATATCAAAGGAGGAGAATAGTAGAAAAATTTTGGTCTCCCCCAATCATGTAGCTGATATTGTATCTGTAAATTGGATGTCTAAGGAAAATTCGTTAACAGAGATGAGTCTTCCAGAAGCTAGTGTAATGATGGCTAAGGAGATGATACGAGGGGGTTTGAATTTGGCAAAGGTTTGGGATGAAATTTGCTAGGTATCCTGGAGCTTATAGAGCTTTTTGTAAAGAAGGACACATTCGGATTGGGATTTCAACCGACTACCAAAGACAAGAAAGAAATGCAAGCTCGTAAGAAGGCGAAGAAGGAAGGCAAGCAGACCGCCATGAGTATCTCACCATTGCACTGCACCTTTCCTCGATCATCTGCAATAATTTTGTTAGAATTGGAAAATGAGGGTCCGACTGAAGAGATTGAAACAAGCCTATCTCAACTGTTTGTCAGAGTTACCTACGAGGAAGAGCCGTTGACAGAAATGGAGTTTCCAGCCATCTCTGAAGGAGCCATGCAAAACTGGACTGCCGATTACCTTCCCTCTCGAAGGAAATTTCGGTAACTTAAGGGGATTGTCCTTGATCGAAATCTATCACAAAAATTGCTGTGTTTTAATTATTTGTTTTCTTTCAGTGTCATGTTAATACGCGTTTTAGATGAAAATTTCACTCCCACTGTACAGTTCCCATGGAAATGTGTTTATTTCAACTAATATCATATCTTATTTTTGCAAAGTACTTGTCTTTTGTTCTTTAATTGAATGAAAAGTGTTTGTTCATATTCATTATTTCTTACTTGCTTATTGTGCATGTCTACTCTGTTTTCAAGTGGCCAAAAATAAAATCATTTGACCCTTTGAATATCACCATTCTAGAAGTCGAAGATTGCAAATTTGATATTTCTCACGAATTTGAAATTATGAAATTCAAAATGAGAGTGATAGCGAGAAGGAATCTGAGTCTATTTCAAAAATTCTTGAATAATATGAGGAGAAACCCAAACCGAATTTAGAAGAGACAAATATTACTAACATTGGCACTAAGACGGAGGTTAAAAAAATCAAAATCAGTGTGCACCTGAATAAGGAACGAAGAAAAGAGATGATTAAATTCTTAATCATGTTTCAAGATGTGTTTGCATATTCGTATGACGATATGTCTGGAATTTTAACAGACATAGTGGTTTACAGATTACCGATCAATCCAAATTTTTCGCTAATAAAGCAAGAATCGGACAAATTTAACGCAGATATAAGTCTCAAAATCAAGGAACAGATCGAGAAGCAGCTCAATGCCAGAATCATCATTGTGTCTCATTACCCATTTCGGTTTCAAATCCCGTATCCATTCCGAAGAAAAGTGGAGAAGTGTGAGTATATATCGATTACAAGGATCTCAACAAAGCTAGTCCGAAAAATGATTTTTCGTTGCCAAACATTCACATTCTTCTGGTCAACACAGCGGGACATGAAATTAAATCTTTCGGTGACTGTTTCGCTAGGTATCACCAGATTTTGAGGGTTGAAGAAGATAGAGAGAAAACTACTTTCATTACTTCGTCGGAAACTTTTTGCTATCGAATAATGCCATTTGGATTGAAAAATGCTGAAACTACCTATCAACGGACCATGACCACTTTGTTTCACGACATGATTCATAAAGAAGTGGAAGTCAATGTGGATGATATTATCATTAAATCCAAGAAAGTTGAGAATCATCTGATTGACTTAAAGAAATTATTCGAAAAACTAAGGAAGTACAACTTAAAACTAAACCCTGTCAAGTGTGCTTTTAGAGCTCTTGCCGGTAAACTGTTGGGGTTCGTTGTCAGTAAAAAGGGAATCGAAATCGATTAAACAAAAATCAAAGTAATTCGAGAGATGCCTATACCGAAAACTCAGACGGACGTGGAGAGCTTTTTGGAGAAGATCAATTTTATCGACAGATTTATTGCTCAGTTAACAGCTACATCTGAGCCTTTATTCAAGTTATTGAAGAAGAATGCGCCAATGCACTGGAACAAAGAATGTCAGCAAATTTTCGATAAGATCAAGAATTATCTGTTGAACCCTCCGATCTTAGTGCCACCCATACCTGATCGACCTTTGATAATGTATTTTTCTGTACCGGATGAGACTATGGGATGCATATTGGGACAACATTATAACTCGAAAAAGAAGAAGCAAGACATCTATTACCTCAATAAGAAGTTCACAGCGTATGAGGCCAATGATTCATTTCTTAAGAGGAGTTGATGTGCTTTGGTTTGGGCCGCTCAGAAATTGAGGCATTACTTACTCAGTCATACTACATACATTATTTTCCGCTCCGACCCTCTAAAATATTTATTGGGAAAGCCTATGCCGACGGGACGTATGGCGAAATGGCAGATGATTCTTTCAGAGTTCGATATCATTTTCACTGCGCAGAAAGCAATAAACTATAGCAGATCA